AAAAAATTTCACCATTTGGTTCCTGAGTTATGATTTTTTAAATGAACATTTTTGATGGCATACCAAGGGTCTGACATCATTTTTTCATGCTCATTGTGATCTTTGGTTTATAGTCTTGCATTCCGGGTTTACTTGCTGTCATATTATAGCCGTATTAATTTTTTTTTTTAGTTTATAATTGTAAGTGTATGTGAAGGCACAAAACACTTTCCAACCTCCTTAAGATACTCGTCTTATCTCCCTTTTTACAACTTGCGGTGTTTTGTTGTTGGTATGAAAAGGTAATCCATAGGTTCGACGTTTAACTTCAAGTATAGGATCCAGGTTCAGATTGTTTTTGAACTACGCTACACAAACACATTGTATCTCGCAGTATTTTTTGGGATGCTTATTTTAAATAACATATAAAACACACGCGTTTGTTACGATTTTGAGTCAGGGATACGACTCACTGTACTCATAAATCGAATTCAAAAGATTATCGTGTTAGGTGGTACTACGTTTTGAGGAGGGATCGAGGAGAACCGAAGAAACGTGTGGAAAACCCCGAATCAACGTAGAGACTGACCTAAAGAGTGCTATATTCACTTGTACTGCGATCTCAGTAAGCACTMTGGACCGGCCATAGTGCTTAAAGAACAAGAGTTCAATACAAGCTTGGACCGTCCTTTCTAGAGTTTATGGAATAATATCTTTGAGTTTTTTTTAATATTTTAATTTATTTWTTATTWTTTTTCTTACAAGAAAATATAATTGATATTATTTGCTGTACGTCAAACGATACGATCATGGTGATGTGAGCATTCATTCGGGGTTTTTTTCTTACCCTTTTTTTTCGTGTTAAGTATAATCCCAAGTAATAGTGTTCGATTCTCCATCGAACAGACAGGATGTGAGAACTGTGAGAAAACAATGTTTAATGAATGACTAAAATTCAGCACATTTTGCTAGCTCCACCTTGTCGACATACAATCTTCGTTATGAAACACCTCAAGAGGACACTACAACCAACTCCTCAAATGTTGTTGCAGAAGATTAGTTCAAGATGTGGCTGGGTCTTCTACACATACACACTTGAAATCCCATTACAAAASGCACACAGCAGTTTTCATGCATTTTTCTTGGTGTATTTAATGTGACGATGGTATTGGACSTACTTGTTAGGTCGTGGTGTATATGTGATGGCTGGTATTTTGTATGTGTTAGCTTGCCGAGCAGGTAATGTTAGGGGTATCCTTATCGATCTTGTAGACGGAGTTGTAGATTGACCGCACCCAGCAAGCCGAGTGCTAAGTATATTCAAGAGGTATCCTACATCCAATAGACCAGAGATGCCAGTAAAATTGTATGTATAATTAGTGACTAACAGTCMAAGTAAAACMAAAGAAARCAATGGRATTAGTGTCTACTACTGTGCATAGTTAATATTAACTATGTGCTAAGTAAAATCGCTATATAAGGATCTTATAATATCCCTATCAACAAACAAGCTAAACTTTCTTTACACACGATTATAATCAATGACTTTATTACTGATTCACAAGTTAACGACATTACCAAATGAAACAATATTTCTGATGACGTTCTTGGCTACAAAATACCGCATAGACAATCTAGCAGGTTATTGCCAATTTAAAACAAATTCCATAAATGCGGCCAGGATAGGGAGGCACGTTTTGATAACACTGATGATGAGTAATGATGTGTGTGTTGCCACGAGGCCTTAAACTAGAAGACAGGATGTTTCATTAGCTTTAAATTAATCTATTGAAAATACCAAAAAAGCAGKTCTAAATGAGATTTGTTCCATTAAGAGTTATATTAAGAGTTTTCATGAAGATATAGAAATATAGATAAGTTATAGTGCTTGGGAACGAGGTTATTCCGGGCGAAAGCCCTTGGAATTAAATTCCACATATTCTTAAGAGTTTTCATGTTCCTAGCAGTTGGCGAAAACCATTCAAATACTCAGTATTAAACTGACATATCTACTTTTCCAGGCTCAGTGTCTCRTTACCAACAAATCATTCCTCATCATATTCTCGCATTAATATAGAGATGATCTTAAWTTCTATTTTTGTAGCTTAGTAATAGCAAAACGTGTTGGTAGATGGTGGGATGGTGGGTGGTTTAAGTACGCTTCCTTCTTCGTTTGTCGTACCGTCTGARTCCAATCTAGAGGGCGTTTTGTAGTCTAAAAATATGGATCATTCCTGAAAAAAAGTTGGTTAGTGTACACGGTCTTCAGTGTTAAAAGCTAGCACTTGAGTCTTACAAACACTAGTCAATTGAAAAAGGAAATCTTTGTTAAGGCTGTAAGTAGCACTTAGCGTCATCAGCTTGAGAAAGATAGATCCTTTAATCCTATGGCTTTAGAGATCGTTTGTGTTTATGACGCGCAAAACCACGTATATTGCTTCTCAATTTGGCTTCATCAAGGACTATTTTTGAGTTCTTTCTTTGTCCTATTAATATATTTGTTCTCCCCAGCTGACCAACTAGTTTGAAGGACCGTACGCTCGACTTTCATTTGATCTTTTCAAGTATGAAACTAATCTTCAGGCTTTGTGTAAAAAGAGATATAAACTGATCACAAGTTGGCGAAATCACAAMCAAGAATTTTCTGGACAGAGCAAAGATGTCTAAACTACAAGTATTTTTCTTTATTTTTTGTTTTATTTTAGTTGTTTTGTCATTAGTTTGTGATCATGCGACGGCTACCTCGGCAGTGTGTACGGGATGCAGGGATATTCCTTGCTGTAGGAAACGGGAATTGCTGAGAAAGGTAAGACATTTGATTTTTACTCTATAGTACTGACCAAGTACAATTCTAAGTTTGAGTTCTTCTGGTAACAAAATATTCAATGAACTAGTTGATGTACTTCAACGTTTTTTGCAACAGCAGTAGGCCGAGAGGTATTCTTACATTTGTTTAGCTTTGGTATGCGAGTAAGTAGGTYTAAGGGAAGGCATTTTCTATGATTGAGATAAGGGGACTATGGGGTAGGAGGACTGAGGAATAACGTATGTTCTGTTCTATCTAAAACTGTCAATGGGCACTGCCTGAGGCCGAGTCGCAGAAAACGTTTTACAAAACGGTCTTAGCCCATCCCTTTTCCCTAAGTAAGAAATTTATTGAATTACCCTTAAGTCAACAAGGCAAACAGCTTTCGTCAGAATAGAAAGGTGTAACCACCAAAGTGTAACATTTTATTATTGAGGGGTAAAGTGCACACAGTCGGCTTCCATTGATAGCAGTTGAATTTCAACTGAAGAAATTATACAGACGTTGAATATATCGGTACTTTACTTTAGTTTTAGCTGACGACCCTCCCCATGCTCTGAAGCCCCCGCCCTCCAACTTTTAACTCAAAGAGTAAAACTGCAAACCAAAAAGAAAAACACTGAACAAATTTAAAAAAAGCATCCCATTTTCACTAGTGAAATTAATCAGGCAGCGGCTGCATTGCAACTCGCTGGGGCAGTGTATCGTATGTAGTAACAATATTGAATGTGTCTTGGAACTCCCGGCTGTTCTAATTATTGATATTTTCTCTTWTCATCGGTAGCGAGTAGTCGCTGAAGAACGATCCAAAGATATTTGTGCTGTGGCAAGAACCCTGGGCTGTCATTCAACGAATCCTTCAAATGACGAACCTTTGGACCTGRATTCAAGACTATGAAAATGTGAATACGAATAGAGATGACAATCAAAGGAAAGTAAAAAACGAAGGAAATATAATTAAGACAGTTCTAATTCGATTTGTGAAGAAGAGGATAACAACTAAAACAGCAACAAATTTGTAGAAATATATGGTAGTTTTAAGACGGATATTTATGAAGTAATAAGTCAATTGAAATAAAATAACTGTAAAATCAAAACTAGTCAAAAAAATGGCATTGATAAAGTATTTATTACAGTCAACCAGCACATGAGAAAAAATGTGGTGTCGCTTTTCCTTTTAAAATCATAGATGTTCAGGCCACCAAATGGGGAAAAACATGAAGTTGCTTGATAACGACAGTGGTGCAATAACTAACGAGTCTCATTTTTATTGCAATAATGGTGGGCATGTTTTTCTGACTTCATGAGTAGAGTCGTTTGTTGGTTCTCTCCTGTGCTTCGAGGGTTTTCCAGGTTCTCCGGTTTTCCTCCCTCCGCAAAAATCAAGTCCTAAATTCCAAATCGATCATGGAATGAGGGCCACAGGTTTGTTAGCCACTGGCTATTAAGTGCTACCCTCGTAAAAAAGGAAATTTTTTATGACCTCTGTTTCAGAGTGACGTTATTTCTACGTCACTTTTTCAGATCAGCTGTAAGGCGTGTCACTTTTAAAATCCCATATGAAACGAGTTAAATTGTTAAAGCCAAAACACCAGACACTTTGTTATGKCAAAGTATATATTTCTTTCTTTGCAATTCTTGCGCATATTTGTTACAAGGTCTATAAATTATTCTAATATTTATGGTACTTAACCATAACACATCATGTTACATGTCACTGACCCTGCCGAATACCACCACAAAAATTCCATTTTTTTCTGATGATCCTCCTTTGCATCACCCAGTCCCCCACCACCCCACCCCCTTATAAAAAACGTACGTTYCTAATAAAATAAAATGGTAACTGCAAGTACTGCCATTGAATCATCCTATCGTATTTGACGGGAGGCTAGTACTGACAACGTACCCACTCTCTATTCTGGTAAAACAAAATCCCTTATAATTATCCGTAACTTTTGTTACAATTTATAAATTTTCCTGACCAAACATATCATTCATTGACAGTTCGTAGACCTTTCCCCGACTTTTCCAGGTGAATGGGAGCCCGGCAGTAGATAAAGGATTAAGGGATAATAGATTTGAAGCACAGGGTTTTACGTTTCCAAGTGGTGGGAATGGGGAAGGCTACTTAACTAAGATATGGTTTCGATTGATAAGAAAATAATTGTAGTAACAGGAAACTATAATAARCAATCATATTTACATCAGCTAAGTAAGAAAATAATCCAACTTGAATTTCATATATTTGCGAATATAAAAATACTCTTAATTTCTGAAAAATTTAAAAATTCGTTATGAATCGAAGTTTGATAAAAACAATGAAGACGTGCATCTTGATGCGAGGCGAGCCTTTTTAAGAAAGTATCGAGTACTGTACGACCGTGATTCCGATGTTGTGTAAAAGACTGGGTCGAGTTGGATTTGCATTGCATTTTGGGGGACTGTTTCAGCGGATAAAAATAGACGCTATCTTGAAAATAGAGGCCGTCTTGATGTTGCACTGCATTGTCAACTTGACCTAGTCTTATCCTTGGAATGGATAATATTGCTGTGCACCTTCCTGGATTGCTTATAAGAGAGTTACGAGCGGCCCACGGTCAATTTGCGAGTTATTGAAGAGTTACTTCCGAGTATTTCACGAGTGTGCTGCCATTTTTTGTGTATGAACGTCGTGGTCGAGCATATGCTATAAAGAAAGAAAAAATACAAAGATAAAAATCCTTCCTATAAAAGACAAAAACTTCGTACAATTCTTGAACAAACAAACGAATAAAACTAAGAAACAAAACTAAAAAAATCGAAAAAGAAAGAAACAAAAGAGAAACTGAGGCAACTGTAAAAAAAAAAAAAAAAAAAAAAAAAAAAAAAAAANCCAGAAAGGGCGGTAAGAAATTCACTATAGAGGTTTATGTGTCTTTACTTTGAAGGAAAAGTTGTTGTAATACAAGGACATCATTAAGGTCGGTCTTCCAATTAAAAGTATCCATACTTATAAGAAATAGATAAACATAAGTATAAGTGTRTGTAGGAATGGCGAGGGGTAGATAGATGTACTAGCCAAACTAAAACAGTAGAAATTCAATACGCTACCGTTAGTGAATCGAGTTCCTTCGAAAAGGCTCCAATGGCTGTCGGTCGTTTGCTGTCAATGAACTACCATAAACAACCATGTTACATGTAGTTGTCAGACGTAAACCACAAAGCGATCATCAACTATCATCTTACCTCATCGCTATCATGCCTTCTGGTTCTACTATATTCTTCATCAGATTTTCGCCTGGGTCTCGTCACAGTTGGTTTCAGTTCTTGTGGGATATCGAAATCCAAGGGACACACATAGTTATCGAGCTCGGCGGAGCCAACACCTTTCTTACCGCGTCCTAACGCTCCTAAGGATTTACTCTTCTTGATAACCTAAAACCAGTTAATACAATGTCAGCGGCTTCAACTCTAATATCCTGACGCWATAGTTTTATTCGTACTTCGTGAAGAGTGCGGTAGCCACAGATGCACCCCGCCCCATACTTTACCCCTGAATACCTATCTTTTCTAATRATAAAAAACTAAAAGACCATGTAAGCTCAGCATGTTACCTTTTGTTTGGTATCAGGCATTAGCGGTGTAAAAGACGACGAGTTGGCGGCTTGTTCTTTCAACCTGAAACATGCAGGACCAACGAGGGACTGGAAGTGTGACGCTAAATGCCTTCTTAATAGGGACTTTGTTGTCGGGATGGATAACAGGGCAGCTAGTGTTTCTGCTGTAAATCTTGGCTCTAGTATCTGAAAACAAAACCAGGCTGGTTTATCTTCAGGCACGATACATAACCTACAACACGTTTTCTTTCCATTTTGGAAAAAGGAATAGATCATGGTCTCTTGGAAAAGGCGATAAGGTAACGTTGTGATAAAGCAAAAGAAAAAAGCATGTAAGACAAATGAATCCTTGCAAAAGGCAACAAGAATAGCAAGATAAATCACGAAGCTGGTTCAAACATCATTCTAATCTCAAGACTGATTCAGAAATGCTTCATGGCATGCACCCGGTACTTCAAGGATATAAGTGTCGTTCAAGTGTTGCTACTAACCATTAAGGCTCCATGTACTCCGTTCCCTCGTAGGTTTGGCGCATACTCAGCTAAATCAACCAGTCTCAACCATTCAACCACTCGTCCGTTAGTCCATAACAATACGTCTGCTCCTTTCTGCCACGACTGCAAGAAAAACATTCAGATAAACGGTCAGTGATCTCAAGGCGTTCCTGAAGTTCAATCAATAAAACACGAGAAAGTCTACTCGAAAGATCTTTTCTGAGGTCGCGAACATGGTACAATCTGGTTTAGGCCCAGGGAGAAAATCTTGTTCTTCGTTGTACCCAAGATAGACCAGAATGCACCTTACTTGTTGAACTCAGAAAAGGCCATACTGGTACGATCMAATTTAACTGAGTGAATAACATTCATGATTTAATATAAGAGGTTAGTTACCGTGAGTGTTCTTTACTTACTTCGTCAATTGGGTATCGCTTCAGTGAATTGGGATGGAAATTATTAAATCTGAGAGTTGGAAAACAAACTACTTTAGTGATTGTATCGTTCATTACATTGTCGTAAGCTCAATGTAAAAACAAAGATACAAGAGAATGAGTAGAACGACAACTCAGCCTGTCTGAAATATCACTGACCTTAAACATTGGATGGCACGCTGAATACTGATGTGATGCAGGGCATTCGTAACTTTTAGCTGTTGTAAATCGTCCTAATGGGATAGCAAAAATGAAAATGAGAAACCTTATTTCATTTTTGTTGGGTTTGTTAGAAACTGTGCTTACAATAGTGAGGTAATTTAACATTCGACCATCAACACAGGCATCGCTGAAGGTATCCTTGTAATGAGGCAAACCTATGTCTTCAAGCCAACCTACAGGACAGACAGACAGACAGACAGACACTATTAAAAACAGCATAACAGCTCTGACCCTCATTTCTTACATGCAAGTCAAAGCAAAATTAGTCTCGATAACTTAATAAACACCGACTGAAGGGGATATTCAATTTTTTCGCACCACCACAGTCTTTACAACTGCGTTTGCCAAATGTTTATATGACTATAAACATTATATTAGAATATATATCATAGACATTCTGCTATAAACAATCTTGAACAATGTATTAATGACATTCAGTCCTTTTTCCTAGAAAATAGGCTTAGTAACAATCCTTCTAAGACTGAGATCGTTCATTTTTATTCTCGTTTTTCAAACCACGCTCCTATTTCTAGTATCAGT